CCTGCGCCTGTCCCGGTGCCCAGCCTCGTGGTGGCAGCGTCTGAGGTCCCCGGCCCTGGGGCACGCGCAGCCCTGCCCCGCCAAGTGCCCCGTGCCGGCGGCCAGCTGTGCCAAGGCGCGGGAGGACAGACGGCCGCCCGGGTCCCCGCTGCTGGGCATGGGGGCGCCGGGGCGGGACACCTCCCTGGCCTGGTGAAGTGTCTCCTAGAAACTGTCAGCCACCATCAGGATTAACAGTGACGCCTCGGAAGCACCCCGCCCCGCCCCCACTGCAGTCGCGGAGGAGGCGCGCCTGTTGTCACCGGGACCTTTGCTGCTGTGCGTCACGGACCGCTGTTCTGCGAGAGACCCTGGTCGCGGCTGCGGCGGAGTTTTAAAAGAGACGGCAGGCATAAATATTTGAAAATTAGAAGTAATGACTTAATTGCAGGTGCAACCCGGAAGTCAGAAGGCGGTCCACTGGAAAGCCATTAGAGCTAACGCGGTAATGGAGTCGCTGTGGCATAACCAAAAAATAAATAAAAATAAAAAAAATTCCGTGTTCCACGGCCAGGGACTGTCCTGTACACAGGAATGACCGATAAACCCATATTGCCAACAGCGCTGCCTGCCAGAGCCAAGAAGGTCTACGAATCAATACTCAAATGTAAAAGGCCTACGTGATTTTTTTAAAAAATCTGAATAAGAAGAGAAATTGGAAATGCGTATAATTCTCAATTTTGAGAGGGGGGAAAAAAAGAGTTCTCTCAAAATTAATCTGTAACTGCGGGCAATTCTCACCCATTACTTATGGAGTTTGACAGGCTGAATCCAAGGTCGTCGCGGAGAACATCTGAAAGAACAGCCAGGAATTTCTGAAAGCAAGAAATACACGTCCTGGAAAACGACAGCCTTCGACGCGGCGTGGCCCCGGCCCAGGCGGACACAGGCACGGAGACCGAAGCGAGGCACGGAGCAGTCCAGACGCGCCTTCCCGGCATCTTGCGTCATGGGGGTGGGAGCGGGTTGGAGCCAGATTCCGGGCCAAGATCTTCAATCCATAAAGCGCTCTTCAAAAATCAATGCAAAAAGGCCCAGCGATGACAGTGGGGACAGCAGCGGACTTGAGGGGACCGCGAGGACAGGTCCACGTCCCGGCTGCATGGAGCGCAGGTGGGGACACTCGGGAGAGATGGTGTCTCGTCCCCAGGTCGTCCAAGAACCATGCCCGTGGAGCCGGGGCGGCCCGCGGCCGGACCTGTGGGAGGGCGGTTCTGGATGGCTCGCCCCAGCCCCGCGCGCGGTTTCCGATCACCGGTTCTGCGGGGCGTCGTGTGTGCGGCGGAAAGCCTCGGGCGCGGCACATGGCAGACCCTCCGGCACCCGCACGCTTACAGGGGAAGGCGGACGTTTTCAAACTCGGGGAACGGATGGAAGAGGACAAGGGAGGGCGGCTGTGCATCGAGTGTGGCCTTGGATTTCCGTCAAAAGAAAAGCTGACCCCCCCCACATGGCTGGCAGACGGTGGGGCCCCCGTGAGAACCCGGGGGACATTTCAGAGCATGCCGCTTCCGAATTCGAGATTTTAATGATCACGCACACACACCCTACCCAAGGTGTAGAGAGCCTCAAATTCCGGTGGGGGCCCCGTGGGAGAGCAGCGCTCGGCCGCTCCTTCCCCAGCTCCTCCCGCTCGGGGGGCTGGGGGCCGACGCCCCGTGGGCGCGCAGAGCTGCCCCGTGGTCACGCCGGCGAGAGCCGCGTCGGCGCCAGTCCCGGCACAGGCACCGTCCCCTCCGCCAGGCACCGCGCGGGGCTCTGTGTGTCTCCCACCGCCGGCCACCAGCACTGACCTTCTGAGCAGCGCCCAGAGGGGGAAGCGGCTTTAACTGCTCAGTCCACTCGGAAACTTTGGGGGTGCCAAAAGACACGCCCTGTGGCTCCTCAGCAGCCGGGGAAGGGGAGCCCCAACCCGCAGGACCCCGAGAGCGGAGGTGGGACCGTCTCTGAGGGCGGAGAGGAAGCAGCAGCCGGCCTGTTCCCTGTGTCCCCGGAGCGGTTGGGGCCCTGCCTCCCCAGCCCCTCCCGGGCCAGAGGCAGGAAGTGGGGGTGGGAGCTGCCCTCCAGGACAGGGGTCGCCCCTCAAGGAGACGGAAATGTGGGTGCGCCCACCCTCCCACTCCTAAGGCCTCGAAGGGCCCTTTCTTCTCGGCCCGCGCTGAGCTTCGCTCCCCACAACGCAGCTACGTGAGCAACAGCGCCCTCCCTCGCTCCTCCCTCAGGTCACGCGGCCCCCGAGAGCCCCACGGGGCCCTGTCTCCCAACACCAGGGCTGTGGGCGCCACGCGGCCCCCGCCTGGCCAGCGGCATCCCTTGTCCGCAGCTGAATGGCAGGCCGCGCTGGGACCCCGGCGAGCCGGCCGGGGACGGCGAGGTCGGGCAGCCGGCCCGGGGCAGCTCCTCCGTGGACCGGAGCGGGAACACCCGCCTCGCCAGGAACTGCGTCCACGCCTGTGAAACCGAGGTGCTCCCTGGGGTGGGGTCAGGGCAGGAGGCCCTGGGGGCCTCTGACAGCTTCAGCAGCACCGCCGCGAGCTGTGCCCGCCCAGCGGCCGCGTCCCTGCACCTGGCCTCCCCCCCCCGCCCGTGTCATTAAGGCTCTCGGGCAGGGGCCGGCCCCAGCTGGAGCCGGGAGGCCTGTCCCACCGGCCATCCCTCGAGGCCACGGGCCGACGCGTAGGCGCGGCCCCCGAGGGCAGGCCCCCAGAGCGGGCTCCCGACTGGGTCCTCACCGGCCACGGTGCACAGGGCCCCCGTCTCAGCTCTTCCCCGGGGTCCGCACGGGAGCGACACGGGAACGAAGCCGAGCTTCGCATCCCAAATGACACGGCTGGTCAGCCGGGGGGTGTCCGGTTCGGCCTCGCACGCAGGGCTCCGTGTTCTCTGCGCGGCGCAGGACCGGCCGGCGGCGAGCGCCGGCTCCGGAAGCCACGCGTGCGCCTTCCACCCGCACTTTCCCTCAGGTGAGTGTCCTGCCGTCTCCACCAAGTGTCCCCAGCACAGCCTGGCAGGCGCCGCGCCCGGGCGGGAGGCACAGGCGCCCTGGGTGACCCTGCGGGCCCCGCCCGGGCCCCTCAGCCCAGCCCCAGCCTTGAGGGCGCCGGAGGCTGAGCACCCACAAGGCCACCCCACGTGGAGCAGTGAAGGGCCAGAGCCCCGGGCCCCAGAACGAGAGGGAGGCCCCGGGCCACCCGCACCCCCCAGTGCCTGCTGCCCACACATGGCCACCCGCTGCCGCCTTCCTCAGGGCCGGACGCGCCCCTCACTACGCGGGCGTCCAGGCCTCTGCAAGGAGAGCTCCGAACTGGCCGGGGAAGGCGTCCTCCCTCGGGGAGGGCCCGGCTGCCAGCGGTCTGGGAGGCGGGAACCCTACTGCGACCCCGCGGGGCGGAGCCTTTGCACAGCGGAGCCGTGCCCACTGCAGCCTGGGCCGCTCCCGGGGGCCCCCACCCCGGAACACCCTGGACACTGACGCCCCTCGGGAGCCTCCAGTCCGCCTGGATTAAGAGGAGGTGACAGGGACGCCGTGACAACGACGACAGGAAGAGCCAGTGGCTGTCGAGCCTCGCGTGGGGTTAAGCCCGCGCTCCTGCCTGATCTAGTAGCACGTGGCTGGCCGGGCGCAGGCGCAGAGAGGGCGGGACTAGGGCCGGGCGCGCAGTGCTGGGGGGTGAGGCAGCCGGCGTGCGCCTGGCTGGACAGGGTCACACGCGGGAGGGCCCTGCCGCCTCTCAGGCCACAACCGTGTCCCTGGGGGAAGGAAGCAGCCGGTGCTGGGAGGCCGAGCGGGGTCCTCGCTGCTCGCCGGCACGGCCGACGGACGGGGTGGGGGAGCAGCACCTTGTCGGGACCCCTGCGCCCTTCCTTCCACCTGGAGGTTCCCCGGGGGCCCTTGGCCAAGGACACTGCCCTCTTTGTTTCCCTTCGATTTCTGCCAACCAGGCACCGGGGTCTGCGGCCTGGCCAAGGTGAGTGGTCTCCGCGGCCTTTGCCCACGGGGCCGAGGGGAGAGGGCGGGGCCCGGGCGACGGGGTGCAGCGGCCTGGGGAGGCAAGACAGGCAGGAGCCCGCCGCTTCGCCCCGGGTCCCACGGACTCCAGCCCGGCCCGCTTTGGGCGCCGGGGCTGTGTCTCCCTCGGCTCCCGCTCTCCTCGTTGCCCAGCAACCTGACCTGCTGCTGTCCTACCTCGTCCCTCCTCCCAGACATCACCTGCCACCACCAGCAGCCAGGCCAAAAGGCGGCGGCGCTTTTGTTTCTTGAGCATCCAAAGAACCACGTGGAGGGGACCCAGCCCAGGCTGAAGACCTCCAACTACGTGGCCATGCCCCCTGCAGGGCACGCAGCGGGGGGAGTGGAGGCTCTTGGCTACTTTCCCGCGTGCAGTCCCCCTCTGTCCCCCACGGAAGCACCAGGTGTGACAGAGGCTGTGGGAGGGGCGCTGAGCAGGGTCGGGGTGGTGACGGGGTGCAGGCGAGGGGAGGCGGCGGGCGGCGGAGTGGGCGGCGGGCCGCGGGTGCCCCGGAGCGGACCGGGGCGCGGACCGGGGCGCGGACCGGGGCGCGCTGCCAGGGTGCAGGACAGCGGGGCGAGCCGGCGGGGGCAGGATGAGAGGGATGCTGAATTCGGCTGTGGGCGGGGAGGCCCCTGATAGGCACGCGGAGGGCGTGACGTCACGTCCGGCGGGGAAGCCCGGCCTCCGCGCCCCCGCCCGCCCCGCCCCCACAGGTGGTGCCGCCGCCCTGGGCGCTGGGCGTGGGGCCGCCCTCGGGGACCCCAGACGCGGCCTGCGTGCGCTCCCGCCTCCCTCGGGCAGTGGACGGGCCCACGGGAGCCACCGGGCCCCCGAGTCCTCGCGGAGGCCAGGAGCGCCCGGTGGGCCCGGTCGCGCCCCGCGCTCCGCCCCGGGCGCCTGCTCCCGCCCCGCGCGCCCCTCCCCTGCACCGCCCTCCCCGGCAGCCGAGGGGCCGGGCCGGGCCGGGGGAGGCGCCGAGCCGGGACTGCGCGCTCGCCCGCTGCGCTGGGCGGCCCGACCGAGCGGCCGGTCCTCGAGCCTCGCGCGCCCGGCGTCGCCGCCGGCTTTTGTTGTCTCCGCCTCCTCGGCCGCCGCCGCCTGCGGACCACGAGCCGCGCGCTGGGACCTTGGCTCTGCCCTTCGCGAGCCCGGGCTACGCGGGCCCCACCGGACCCGAGAGAGGCACGGCGAGCGGCCGGGGGCGCCGCGGCTCCGCCATGGAGCTCCGGGCCGGCGGCTGGTGGCTGCTCTGCGCGGCCGCCGCGCTGGCCTCCTGCGCCCGCGGGGACCCTGCCAGCAAGAGCCGGAGCTGCGGCGAAGTCCGGCAGATCTACGGTGCCAAGGGCTTCAGCCTGAGCGACGTGCCCCAGGCAGAGATCTCCGGTGAGTCAGGGCTGCGGGCCTCGGACCCCTGCGCGCCCGGGTTTCCTCCGCGTCCCCGGGTCGGCCTGCGCGGATCCGGGCCCCGGGCGCCCGAATCCCGCCGCCTGCACCGGCCGCCGAGTAGTCCCGGCGCCTCAGCTCGCCCGCACCCCCTCGGGCCCTCACCTCCGAGCCCCGAGCCGCCCTTCTCCGCTAGGCACCAACCCTTCAGTGGCTCCCGTTCCCGTGGAGTTGTCCTCGCTGGGCTCTGCCCGGGCGACCCGGCTCGGTGCGCTCCTCCAGGGCCACGGCTCCAGCGCGGCGTCGGGCTGCAGTCCGAGACCCAGCCGGCACGCCAGCCACCCTCGCCTCCGGCCAGGGCTGACCAGCGGGGTGGCAGTCGGGGCGCAGCTGATGGTGGCCGCGGGCTAGGAACTCTCACCGGACTGTGGGGGCCTCTCCGGGAGGTCCCACCGGGCAGACTGGGGGTTTGTTCCCGCGGGGGCCCAGCAAAGGCGGCCTGGGGGCGGAGTGGGGGGGCGACCTCTGCCCCCTGAGCAGCAGTGCTGCCTGGCAGAGGTTCTGCCCGGGAACGCGTGCCCGCCCACGAGCCCGCCTGCCTGGCGCTCGGAGCCACTTTCCCGGAGTCCAGCTGCAGGTGGTCGGCGTTTGGGATCCGGCCCAGGAGCCATGTCATTTCTTTGTGAAAGCATCGACCCTCCCAGGCGGCCTCAGCCCGGCAGCTGCCTGGCGGCCCTGCCCACCCCTCCCTGCCGGCTGCCGAGGAGCTTTGGGGACAGCAGGACTGTGAGGGTGGGAGATGGGGCAGTGTCCCCGGGACCCCGAGCTTCATCCTCACCCTGCGGCCAGGCCCGCAGCCGCGTCTGCGTGGGATTCCAGGGGCGCCGGGCCGGGGCAGAGCAGGCCGGGTTCCTGTCCTGGGGGCTCCTCCCAAACTGGGGTGCGGGAGGCAGGTGAGGGCTGTGCTCACGGGGGCACAGGGGGCGTGGGGTGGCCAGGGCTCTGGCATGCGGGACAGGAGCGGAGTGTGCCAGTGTGAGGGTGCGTCTTCCGGGGGGGCGGGCAGCCAGGCTCTGGACCCGCTCCCGGCAGGAGCAGGCCACCCTGAGAGATCTACCCCCACCCCCACCGCGACCCCCAACATCCCCAGGTTCTGGAAGGGTTCCTCCTCGGCCCCCCAGGTCAGGTGCCCGTGCCCCCTGCCCTCGCCGAGGGGCTGGTCATTGTTGGGGGCTTCTCTCCCTCCATGGGCGGGGGGGTGCCCAGGGCCAGCTACTCAGTGTGGCTCCTGTTCTTGCCCCTCCCCCCACAGAGGAACTCTGGGCCTAGGTGGGCGTCCCGGGTGGTCTTGGTGGGCCGCTCCCCAGACACCGGGGTCTCCGTCCCCACCCTGCCCCGGACCTCGGACTGGACGGCGGCCTTCGCTGCGGCCCCTGCCCGGGTCCCTGCCGGCTCAGCGTGTGCCCTTAGGGGCAGCCTGGACGCACCCCAGCCGGCCTCCCTTCCTCCCTGCAGTTATGCTGAGAGGCAGGCTGGCAGAGCCGGGCGGCTGCGGAGGGCCGGGAGGGGACGTGGGAACTCCGGAACTGGGGGGCCGGGGGCTGGGCCTTGTCCCTGTTGGGCTGGAGGATGCCGCGGGTCAGGGGCCAAAGGCCCGTGACGCACGTTGCTGTGCATGTGGCGGGTGGGGGCGGGTGCGGCCCGCTGGCCGGGGGCGTGCGGCCACCGGCCGCTGTCCTAGCATCGTCCTGGCCGGGGCTTCAGGCGCCACCCTCCTTGGGGTCTGGAATGCGGGGGGCCTGTCCTCTCCCTGCTGGTGCCCCACGACTCCTGCACCGGGGGAGCTGCCCTAACCCTAACCCCCCAGCCACACCCCCATGGCCGCATCCCCCCACGAGCCCCGGCCTCCAGGGTGTCCTCTGGGAGGGGGGGCCGGGGCTGACCCCGTGCCAGCGCCACGTGGGGCAGAGGAAACGGCGGCCTCAGCGCAGCGGCCCCCAGCGCTGTCTTCTCTGCCCCGTGTGACTCAGCGGGGCCTCGGTGGGCGGGGTGCCCTCTGGTGGCCCGGCAGCAGCGCGCAGAGTCTGGGGAGTCCTGCGGGGCGGCCTCCGTGGCGTGGGGGGACCTGCTCAGCTGGCCGGGGCGGCCGGTGGAGACTCGGTGCCTCCCTGTGGGTGGCGCGGAGGGCGGGCGCCCCAGGTCCGGGCGGCCCCTGGGCTCCTGTCGAGTGGGGAGCAGTGGTGGTGGCTTGAAGAGGAGGCTGTGTGGGTGCGGGGACTGTGGGCCCAGCAGTGGTGACGGCTGTCACCCTGCGTCACAGGTGGGGAGGCGGCCTGGGGGCAGCGCAGCGGGGCCCCGCTCAGGCCAGAGCACCGCCCAGGCGCTGGCTCCCGCGCATGCTGGCGGTCGCATCAGGAAGCGTCAGGGACCCCGCCGCCGGTGGTCCCCTCACCACCAGCAGTGTGGACCCCCCGATGCTTTCCGAGCACCCACCTGGCCTCCCGACACGCGGCGCGGTTCCTCTCTGACCCTTCACGGCTGCCCTGGGTCAGGGTCAGGGTCGTGGCCACAGAGCCGGGCCTGGCTCCTGGTGCTGCTCCCTGGGGACTCACGCCCGTTCTGCCGTGTGCCAGGCCCGTGTGCCACACGCGGTCTGGCTGCCGCGCCTCCGCCCCAGGCTTGGGACCGCACGTCAGGAGGGGGCGCCAGCCGGCCCCTCAGCAGACGCCTTTGCTCCTCTGTGCCCGCGGCCGGTGTGTGCCGGGGCCCAGGCCCCGAGGCGGGGCGCTTGGAGCCCTGGGCGTCCCCCGCTCCGGTTCCCAGAGCCCACCCAGGGCCTGTCCCTCCGCCACGGTCAGCAGGCTCCGCACGTCACCTGGGGCACAACCCCTCCGCAGACCCGCAGGGTCTGTGTCCCCGGCCTGGGCGGGAGGCAGGAGCGGCCGCGGGCCGGGCGCGGGTCCCCACGGTGGCCCGGGCCTCCTGCTCCGCCTCGCCCTGTGTCCCCGCCACTCACGAGGGCTGAGGTTTCATCACCCCCGGCTCGGGGACAGGGCTTGGAGAGGGGCACATGGGGGCCCCCAGGGAGCCAGGGTCTGGCGGGCCACCTGCTGATGCAATGGCCCCGGCCACCGCGCCTGCCGCTCCTTGAAGGGCGGCTGTCCCCCGGGGCCCCCTCCCCCGCGCGGCCTCCCTCTCCCTGTTTCTGGGCGTGTGGCAGTGGCAGCCGTGTGACCGTCCAGGAAGGCTGCCGGGAGGGGGAGCGTGCTGCCGGGCCCCGCATAGACTCCCCGGGCCCCGCTCTCCCCCGGGGGTCCGCAGAGGCCACGCAGACCCCCTCGGAGGTGGCGCCTGGGCCTGGAGAGCCGGACTCGGGTCGGGTCCAGTGGGCGCGTCGGGAGGACTTGGGGTGTCACCTGCTTTACAGAGGAGTAAACTGAGGCCTGGAGGAGCCACTTCCTCTCCGGGCCCGTGCGGGGCCTGCGGCCCGGTCTGCTGACCCCAGAGCCGGTGACGTCAGCGGCTGCCCGGTCCTGGCACTGTGCTTTCCTGAAAGCCGCCTGCGCCCCAGCCCTGAGGCCTGAGATGGGGGCGCGCAGCCAGGCCTCTCCTTTTGGCCCCCTGGACTGTACGTGGGGTTAGAACTGTCTAAACTCTCTCCCCGGGACCATGGTCCTGGCCTCCCTGCCCCAGGCCTGCCCCGTCCAGCCGGACGCAGCTGGGCCTCGCCCGCCCCCGCCCCCGCCTTCCCGCTGCCGGTCCGGAGGAGGCTGGCTTTCTTCGGGCCTGGGGCACTGCCGCTTCTGTTCTGCTAAGGGAGGCCATTCCCAGGCACCAGGGACGCGGGTCAGGTGGTCCACAGAGGCTGGCCTGGCTGTGTGCCGGTGGCCGGCCCGAGCCAAAGTCCCCATGCGTCCCCCGCACCCGGCCGGGCCAAGGCCCTGCGGAGCCGAGGACGGACGTCCTGTGCGGGGGCCGGCGAGCCTGAGAGACGACGGTTGTTTTGTTGGTGCACTGGATGCATAATTAGAAACAGTGCCAGCTCGCGGCTGGCAGGCCTGTGGGCTGGGGATGCCTCCGGAGAGGGGCCGGGGACACGCGGGCCGGGGACACGCGGGCCGGGCTGCAGAGCCAGAAGGAGGCGTGCTCACCCCTGCCTCCGCGTGGGCGCCATGCACGCGGACACGCTCGTCAGATCGCCCTGGACGGGGAGACAGGCCAGGATGGGCTCGCCGAGGCCGCTCGGAGTCAGGTCCGCCCCACCTGGCGGTGACAGGTCAGACGCCTTTCCTGGAAGCAGGGCCCTCCTCCCCAAGGCCTGACCTGGTCCGGGGACTTTCAGGCCGAGACTCGAGACCCGGGTAGGGGCCCGGAGGGTGTCAGCCGTCTCCGGGCTCCCAGCCCTGGCTCGTGTGACACCTCTGTGCCCGGCACCCCGCGCCAGCCCAGTCGTCCCTGGCTGCCAACGTGGCCCTGGGGGCCTGTGGGGTCCGGTCACTGCCCACAGGCTCGGGAGGGCGAGAGCCCCAGCCCGGGCCACCCACCCCGGATCCCAACCCCGCCAACGAGCCAGCGTGCAGCCCTCTTGCCTGTGTGTCTGGGAGCAGGCCCGGGCAGGTGCCCCGCGCTGCCTGCGGGCGGGGGGTGCCCAGCCCTTCTGCTCCCTCCTGCTCTGGGCCCCACCCCGCCTTTCCAGGTGGGAGCGCACGGCAGCCAAAGGTGCGGTGCAGGCTGGCCTGTGCTCACACATGGGGGCCGCCACGCTGCGGGGCAGGCCCTGGGCCGCAGGGAACTCTGGGTGCGAGGGGCGCACCTGCTGCCTCCTGGAATCCTGGGTGGGTCTAGGAGCGGGAGGGGCGGGGCTAAGCCAGCCCTTCCCCACCCGCTCGCCTGCTGTGGCCTCTTCCCTGGCCGGCTCCTGGCTGGCTCACCTTCCTGGCACGTGCACCCCCGCCCGCCCGCAGGTCCTCCCTGGGCGCCCCCAAACACAGGCCTGGCGT